CCAACTTCTTGTGCACCCCCAGCCTGCTCGCTGGTGGGGTGGGGTGAGAAGCAGAAAAGGCCTTGACTCTGTGTAAGCACTGCTCAGCAGTAACGAAAACATCCCTGTGTTATCAACACTGTTTCCAGCACAAATCCAAAACATAGCCCCATACTAGCTACTGTGAAGAAAATTAACTCTACCCCAGCCAAAACCAGCGCAGCATGCGTGGGAGGTTTCAGCCATTCCCTTGTGCTAGATGGAGTAGCTCACTCCCCTGAGGGCTCTCTGCCGGCGTTGCTCACTGGCTCTTGGCTTCTCCCTAAGCTACACAAGTATGTGGGAGCAGTCCCATGCATCTTCTCTGAGGCCTTAATACATCAGTCCGGGCTGCAGCTCTCCCGTCAGCTGGTAGATAAACATTACATGTTGATATCCATCTCCTTGCTGGGAATGTGAAAAACTTGAGTGTTTGGGCCATTTTTCTCCTCACCTCCCACATGGAGCAATTTCTCTCAGTGCTACATGCCAGCCCTGGTAGGAGCGGTTTGATTTGGATCCACTTTTTCATGCATCTCTAGAGTTTGGCAGAGCAAGCAGCACTAACTGGGCATCAGTGCACAACGGGCTGGGCCAGGCACTGTGTGCTGCCTGACTTTCAAAGAGGAGGTGTGATGCCACCAAAATTGGGCGGGGGGTGACTTATTCTGCATTGGGATTGTTATGAACTAGGGATCTGTCCCCTTGGCTGACCTGCTGTAGAAGTGGAGTATGTCCATCCCTAAAATACTCTTCCTTATCTGTGAACCTGCTACAGAAGCCATGAATCGTCATGGCTGTGGGGGGTCTCTACAGAGCTTAAGGATACTACATTTGAGCTTTAAGCCCCATCATGCTGTGTTTTTCCTTGTGGCCGTAGGCTATAAAAAAAGCAAACTTACTTCTGCTGCCAACATCCGTGCTTACATACATTGACAAGTATTGCACCCTAGCACCTGAAACAGATGGACATTTTAATTTTATGTACGTGGGGAGAATGATGATATGATAAAATGCGGTAGCTCCCTCTTCAAGCAATGCCAAGGCATATGACACTCATGTGTTTGTTTTTTAGCTGAAGTGGAGGGGTTGCAGGTCACCGTGCCTGAGAAGAAGAAGGTGGCCATGTTGTTTCAGCCTGCTCTGCTTCGCTGCCATTTCTCTACTTCTTCCACCCAACCAGCTGTGGTACAGTGGAGGTTTAAATCTTACTGTCAGGACCGGATGGGAGAAGCTTTGGGTATGGCGACTTCTGGTTTACAAACGATGAGCAAGAGGAACCTGGACTGGGATCCCTACCTGGACTGTGTGGACAGCAGGAGGACAGTCCGTGTCGTCGCCTCCAAACAAGGATCTGCCGTCACTATAGGGGACTTCTATAAGGAAAGAGATGTCAGCATTGTCCACGGTAACTCTCCTACCCCAGTGACGCTTGGTGGGGGTTGGAATGGACCCTTAGCAATTTGGGGTACTGGAGGCTGGCAGTAATTGTTCAGTTAACTCCCTTAGAAAAGGCTGCTGGAAGGGAGCTGTTGTATGTCAGACATTTAGGATTCAACCAACCAACCCTAGACCCAAAGGTCATTTCCTTCGGCGCTTCCCTTAATCCGACTCCATGTAGGTCTCCAACCCTGTTACAGTATTCTTTTCCCTTTGATGAAGTGGAAGGTTTTTATTCCTAGCTTCTGCATTTGTTCTGTATATAGATTTTCCTTAACAAAGGGGTGCCAGCAAGAGAGGTACGAATTCAGTCTCTGCAGGCTAGGTTTTGTTTCCTTGCAAACTCCACTGATTTTTTCCCAGTTCCAAAATACCAAAATTATCCTATACCTCATGTTTGCTCAACTCTGGACTTCACCAGCTTACCCCTTGGGCAGTGTGAAAGTAAGAGACTTCTGTGGGGTAAAGTCAAGTTGGGTGAAGACGGGGGGTGGCAGGGTCCTTAAACATTTGGTCTGGAAGGCTGTGTGAGAAACTTTGTCCCTCAAAAGTACAAGGCTTCTGCTTGACTCAGGAGACCACCTAGCCAGAAGTGGAGGCTCCTTGGTGTGGAGAGCATGCGAACAGCCTCAGCAAGGAGGAGTGTTTTCCTTTGTCTCCGTGTAACCTCTTCAGCAGATGGCTGAAGTGCCATGGAGGAGACACTGTCTAAGCCCTTCTTGCATGGCACGAATACTGTTGGGAGACCAGAGTGACATTAGTTACCCCTTCTGCTCTCAGCACTTGCAGAGTGAGCTGCCTCTGTGGCATTACTTGTCTTCCCACTTACAGCCAGAGAGTCCTGAGCCTGTTGGTTTTTCCTGAATACTGTGATATTCTGGATAAGGATAACCCCTCTTCTTAGTAAGGAAATGAAATGGATTTGGGACACAGAGACGGACCCAGTGCTTTCATCACTTCACTCTTCCTACAGGTGTTGGAGGGAAAGCCTGACTTTTCTTTTTTGCCTTTCAGATGCAGACCTTCAGATTGGGAAGTTGATGTGGGGAGACAGTGGGCTCTATTACTGCCTTATTATCACACCAGATGATGTGGAGGGCAAGAATGAAGAATCGGTGGAGCTGCTTGTGCTTGGTAAGCCCTCTTGCCAGATTGCTTTTTCAGCAGATAGCTGATGTATCTTTCCTTCTGCTCTCTCGCGCTCTCTATGTATCTGTGCACCATATTACTATGGGTGTAAGATCTATGTAAAACAGTCCCCGCAGTACCTTCACCATTGCCTTGCACCTTGTGCAGTTATTCACACCTAGGCAAAGTGGGTGGCAAACGCGACCAAACCAGAATAGTAATGTTTGCACCCACACTCCTCACACGTTACACAGGCGTAAATGACTACAGAAAGTGCAGGGCCGTGGGAAGTCAGAACCCTTGTTTTTAAGGCATAAAACAATGAACTTGCAGCAAAGTGAACACTTGAGACAGAGTCTTTTAAAAATAGACACCCCGAAGACATCAAATCGTATGCTTTTTGCAGTCTTTTAACATTCCCTTCGTCCCACTCTTCTGACCCGTGAGGATGTCAAGAAGCACTGTGTTTTTCTGCTTGAGTGTGTCAATTTGGGAGATTTTTCTGTCTGCCTAATTATGCTTGTCCAGTTAGAGGTGCAGTTTCACAATCACCCTAATCAGGTGTAAGCTGTTGTTGCCACTAAAAGGACCTGTCCTCTCGGCGGTATGCCTGCTTGGCTCTTTGTTTCTTTTAAGCTCCCTTGAACAGTGTGGTAGCAGGATCAGTTTCTTTCCAATTTGCAGCATTAGCTTTCAGCAATGGCTTCCACAGCCCAGCTCACTGTGAAGGTCAAAAAAGCACCCATCCCAGCTAGGGGAGAAAAGCAGAGTGGAATGGGCCTTTCAGGGGCATTTGTTGACACTGCCTTGAGCCAGCTGTAGTACTTCACCCCTAGACTGCCCAGGAGAGTAAGATGAGTTTTTTCCAACTTACCTTAAGACCTGCTGACACCGATGTTTGTCTGGTCAGCATACTTGCATGGTTCTTCGGTGTATAGATTCTGTACATCCTGTGAAGGAAATGTTAAAAAGCTTGGGTCTATAGTGTGTAGGTGATATGTAGAGGCATACGATAGAACATGTCTGTCAAGTGCCCTTGCTCTCATGGCTAAAGTCAGAGTTTAATTGGCATTTATACTTGGAGCTGTAGGTGTCATCACAAAGTAAAGCAGACTGAATGGCTTGGGTGGGTGACTATAACAGTGCTAGCACCTCCCCTGACTCCTTCAGATGTCAGTCAAGCAATGGACAATTGGAGAATGGGTCCTTCCAGAAAACAGTGTCAAACCCCTGTCTAAATCCACAGTGTGACTGCGTATCATATGCTAGTTAATAACAGGTTCAAGACTGACCTGTGTTAGTTCAGGTGAGGTTATCTCTGCCAGGTGGCAGTTATAGCTGTTACGTAGCCTCTCCAGAGGAGCTGACTGTGGCTGCGTGGTGATGGGCTGCTGAATTTTGTCCCTTCTTCATCCTCCTGTCCAGGATTTGGTGTCTTCTCTTACCTGTGTCTACAACTGTGCTCAGACACCAGTAATGCTCAGACACCTTGGTAACAGGAATAATCAGTTTTTCAGTGTGTACAGAAGACTATGTGGGGGGAAAACAAAGAAATCCCCACCTCTGAGGCTGACTTAATGATGTCCCTGGCCCCAGTTCATTGTGGTTATGTTGGGAGGAAACATGTACCTTAGGCTGCGTTACCTTGACCACATCTGCTTTTCTGTTCACTACAGCCTGTGGGTCTGACCTTGCACTTTGTGCAGCACTCTGCTGAGTTTGGCAGCAGCATGAAAGCATATTTGTCGTGGGCATACTTTGTTCTGTCTCATGCTGTTTGGCGCAGCTTGTGTGTATTTCTTTTCCTGGGTAGTGTGTACGGAGGCAACATTCCAGCTTTCGGAGCGATTCCAGGTTACTTACCCATTTTCCTGCCTTCCTTCCCCTTCCCACCTTATTATTTTCCTTCTGCCTTTGCTGGTATTTTTTCTTCCTTTTCCTTTACCTCTCCCCATTGATGGCTAAAGGAGAAAGCAGCCAGTGGTGAAAATACCATTTCTTAATATTCTGGCATCGCCTGGGACATTTTTTATTCCATCCCACTGCTCTGCTAGGTATTAGTGACTTGCAGGGAGGCAGTGAGTAGAGATGTAGATCGGAGCAATTCCACAGTCCTAGGGGACACGTGGTAAAAGGGTTTTGTTTGCTGTTTTGCTGTTTGCTGCTCTTTGGGTGGAACCCAGATTCCCTGTTAGAGTGGTTGGAGCAGTGGAGGGGTAGTGTCTGCGAGAGACACTGTGATTCCCACAGCACATTGCTGTTTGTTCCCTGCTGACAGTGGTCTTTCAAATATAATTTATGTTGCTTATTTTGGGGCTGCTGCATGATTTAAGCATAGATTATTCAAGGCCAGGTTGGCTGGGGCTTTGAGCAACCTGGTCTAGTGGAAGGTGTCCCTGACTGTGGCAGAGGGGTTGGAACTAGATGATCTTTAAGGTCCCTTCCAACCCAAACCATTCTGTGATTCCATGATTCTATGAGTCTATGATTAGAATTTTGAATAGAGCAGAGGTTCTACCCACTCATGTTATCAGTGGGGGAAGACAGAAAAATCAGAATGGAAAAGGAAATAGGAAAATATCCCTGGTGGTGGTTTCATATTAATGCCAAGATGAAAGGTGTGTTTAGGTTAGAGAAAGATACTGCTGGACAGGGCAGTTTAATATCACACAGAAACCTTGAAAGGTCTGAGAGGCAAAAATGGTAGATACCTAACAGCATCAATAAATTAATGGAAATTTGCTTAGCCAGGAGTGGAGGATCCTGCTTTTTATACAGTGAATTGCACCATTAAAAATTGGTCAAAAGCTGCTTTATCACAACTTGGAGCAAAATCCAAAACCTGAGCAAATTACAACATTCCTTTTTTCTTAGGGATGCAATCACAGAGACTTCCAGTGAAGTCTAAGTAGCAAGTCAGCCTGGGTCATGATGGGATTGCATGTTGAGTTTTGTCACCTGGATGTGTCATGTTGACACACAAAGAGGCTGGAGAACTCTAGGTAGCGTCAGAGAATCCCATGTGCTGTCTTCATTTCAGGCCTATTTCAGAAAAGCATATAAGCATTTATTTATATCATTTGTGTTCAACAAAGCTGATAGGATTTATAAAGCATACCTGATGTTAAGCATGTGCTTATGTGCTTTGCTGAAAAGACCATTCAGTAGGTTTTGCTTAGTCAGGGACTTTAACCCTCTCTAATGGAATCAGTGCAGGCAAGGGAAGAGCGATAGTAACCTCTGTGCCTCAGAAACACGGGAGATTGGCCGGTAGTGAACCTCCTATAGAGTAAGGAAAGAATTTAAATTAAAAAGTACTCTTTCTTGGTGGCGTTTGGACTCTCCAAAGGGGGTCTAGCATGCTGGAAACTGTATGAACTCTGCTTCTGCTGCAGCAGGACTAGACTAGTACAGAGCTTAGCAGTTCCACAACAGGAGTCAAGTGATGGTCTCCGCACTCATGTGTTTTACTAGAAATGTAGAACCCTTTGCTGACATTACAGCTGGGCTAGTGAATCCATTTGCAACTTTACACATTTTTATTTTTTGGAACTAATGTGATTGAATGAAAAAGGCTGAATGCTAAATTTAAGAAAGTCTACCTTTCTATCTTAGTAGCTAGCAGCTGAGTGTCCTGCTTCTTGAAACACAGACAGTGCTATTAATCGAATTGTTCTTGGTAGCACCTGTGCACTGCTTTTTATATGAGAATGTAAATGGGCATCAGTAAAGTCACTCATTGCAGCCTTTGTTGAAGGGAACTGCAAGTGTACCGGTGCAGTGGATGCAGGGTGCCTGGAGTAACCTTTGAATCAGAAGTACAGGGCAGTGTCAGTGGATACCCCATCCTAGCTTCATGCGACCCAGCTCACATCAGAAAGCAGTCTAGCTTGATTGCATGAGATTGCATATAACCCAGTAAGCCTTTCTGAGAGCTGGAATTTACTAATCAGGTGCAGGGTCCTGTGAAAGCAGCTATACTGCTCCCTTCTGAAGCTGGTACAGCTATAGAGGAATGGCTGTAGGTATAGCTAGGCACAGCTAGCTACCCTGAAATGCGTAAGTCTGTGCAAGCTCAGCAGTGTTTGCATTACGAGATTTTACATAGCTTAGACATGCTTCACGAAACAGTGGCTTCATTCCCAAGGTCGTGTCAAGTTCCTGGAGGAGGCAGGAAAGTGATCCGCTAATCCCAGTTGTTGGTTTGATACTTTGGTTAGTTATCCATGTGCTTTGCTAGACAGCTATTGCCTGCTTTTTTTTCCATCCAGTTTGGCAGCTAATACTATATAAATGATATATTAGTGAAATATTATTTTATAATTAATCTTTTGGAAGCTTCAGCTTCTATCATTGTTACACTTTAAATAACAACAGTTAGCACTTGAGTTTTTTGTTAATTTCCAAAGTCAGCTAGCATTTAACATTAGTAAACTGACATCTTTGGTAGTTTGTATTACCAGCCAATACTGATATAGGCTAAAACCAAACTTTATCAAGTCTAACACCCATAGGTAGGAAAGAATGTAGATACACAGCATATTGCACAGTAATTAAGGTACTAATAGAGACATGTGTTGGCTTTCAGAGAGGATAAATCTCTACTGGGACGTGTGTGTGTGGTGTGCAACGCTAATAAGACAGTTCTTACTCAGCAAAGTGACTCAATAGCTGGTATAAACATAGCCAGGTTTGGAGTCTCTTGTGTGCCAGGAGAGACTGTATTATAAAAGTTGATGTGGTTTCAGAGACGGAAAAGATCCTGGCAAAATTTTCCCTTACAAGATAATGGTTTTAGGATTTCGCCCTGTTTCGCTGAAAAGCTGCCAGTAGCATTCGAGCCAGTACTTGGTCACAGCGGTTGGCAGAGATGTCAGTGCTATTGGCCATGTGGTGGGGATGAGAGGGCCAGATTTCACCCAGGGAGGTGTCTGTGAGCAACTTCACGGCGCGGGCTCTCTGACCTTGAGCTGCGCCTTCGTGACTGAAGGCGGGTAGTGCCAGCAGGCAAAGGAAGTGACCGGCATGGGAGCCCTCCACTTAAAAATCCAGGAAAGGCGTTGATGCCAGGAAGGCCGCTGGTGTCCTCCCACCCCCAAAGTGCTTGTCCTGTCCTCATTAGGTGCTGCTGCCCTGCCCTGGACCACTGTGCTGCCACCTTTGTAATCTGGGTCCAATCCCCCTCGTCCTAGGGGGATAACTAGGGCTACTCCTAGTTACTTATTTCATGCCATTTAGAAGTGCTACTTGTTGCCAAGGTTTTTTACCCCTCTTTTCCTCCTTATTTGCCAGCGACAGCCACACGCTGCTCACAAAGGAGACTGGTGTGATTAAAAGACCTCCATTACTAAGGTAGCCATGGCAACAGCCTCCTTGGAGGTCTTTGTTGCCTGCTAAAACTTTGATCTCCAAGAAGGGCTGCTGCTGTTTTTCCCTCCAATTGAAGAGAAGAACAGGAAGAAAGGATAAAGTTTACTCCGAGCAGAGGGAGCACGGAGGAACTCATTGCAGAGCCATACTCTCCCAATAAATCTCACAGCAGCTTCCTTGGAAGAGTGTCTGATTTACAAGGGCCACACTTCTTCTCCTGTCCTTTCCCTCCTCTCAGGGCAGTGTCCTGTGCCAGGGGCCTCTTGCTGTGGCATGGCTTGGCAAATTTTCCTGCCACTGGAAGAAATAGTTCCCTCTGTTGGGGGCCTCTGCCTCCCGTGGTCCCACTGCTGCAGGTAGGGCTGCAGAGGCAACCCCCAACAGGGAAACCAATTCAACAGTTATTCCCATATTTACCCAATATTTATCACATTTATGCAATTGCCAGTATTTACCATATTCCTGTATTTACCCAATTGCCATGTTCCTGACTGCACCTGCGCCTACTTTATTCATGTCATCATTTCTTTTCAGCTGCACCACTTAACCTAATTATTTTTGTGTCTCTTCTCTGCAGACTCTCTGCTAATAGTCTGCTTGACTCCAGGTCCTCCCTGATCTGCTGCTATTTGCTCTCCCACTCTGTCACCCGCCTTCCTCTTGCCTATTAACTCCTGTCCTCACTTGCCTCTTCTGTATCTTTGCACTTTCTGGACCCACTCTGCACCCCCTCAGCTTTTCCCTCTCCCATTCCTCTTCCCTGCCCTGTCCTGCTGTGCTCTGCTGGTGCAGACTGGGGACTAGCAGGCTCCCTTGCACTTTGGGGCTGGCTGGGGCCCCGGGGTGTGTGGAGTGCCTGATGAGAGGCTGCTGTGGGTGGGTAAAGCCCCACAGCAGCACGGTAGGAGCCTACATGAGCGTGTCCCAGACCCGTGCTGGAACAAGGACAAGCTCCTAGCTTCAACAGAGCTGCCCGGGACAACCCTGGTACACAGGGCCATTGTCTATTCCCTCTTTCACCCGGGGGTGTCTGCTGGGGCTCGGTGGTGAGAGCTTGCACAGGGAACATGTAGCCGTTGCAGGGGTGCAGGGCTGTGGCTCAGCAGCTGTGCCCAGCCATGTCTCAGAGTGCCTGCGGTCCTCTTAGGCGGGCAGAGCCGCCGCACAGAGGAGGTGCAGCCAGATGGTTTCTTGGCCAGATGTTTTAGTAAATTGTTTTCTCCCCACCAATTGCTTTGTAGCCCCAGCCCTCCACCTTCAAGTTTCCTTAAAAAAAAACCAAAAGAAGAGAGAAGTGAGGTGAGCTTAATGCCCACAGAAGAAGCAGCCTGGGCACGGTGAGCCAGGAGGTTGTCGGCCATGATTGCCGTGGCCTCCTCCTG